CCCCCCCCCCCCCCCCCCCCAAAGATCATATTGAATTGTAATAAACACCTACTTAACCAGAAGACTTAGCAGAGGAATGATCAATTATTGGCTTCAAATTAATTAAGAGCAGAATCAAACAATGGCAAACAAGATTAAAACACAAATTGGTTCCCATTGAAATAAAAACTAATAAATGTTTGCCATCAATATAATGTCTACATGGTTTAGGTTAACTACCATGCATTAATTAATGACCATATATATATATACTGATAGTAATGAATTGAATGAAAATATATATCATACTGATCATATATAATAATAATTCCCAAACTGGAAATCTCCTCCCAATCTGCTCTGCAGCGGCTGCACACACAGAGGATCAAACATGGCTGCCCTTGAAGCATAATCATCATTATTCCACTCATTAAGATGATTGTTATTATCATTATTATGAAGATTTTGAATCTCATATCCATATGATGATGAATACCCACCACCGCCATAGCCAACACTACAACCTTGATGATGAATTTGATTTTCGTAATTCCCGATTCCCGCTGCAAAACTGTTATTCCATTGGCCAAACGCGGGAAACCCTAGATAACAATTACCGCAACAATTAGAAAGAGAAAGCTGATGATGATGATGATGATCCTCCTCTGTTTTCTTGCCCATCTCAAGAACCCCTGCCGCCACTTCTTCTTCCCCTTTAAAATTGTTTCCCATGGCATGGAATTCGTCAGAAATATCAGCCTTCATCTTCTTGTTCCCTTTCTCGGCATCATCAATTCCGACTTGGGAGGGACTGCGGCGGCGCTTTCTGTTGTTTTCGGAACGGGGCCGCTTGTTGGACTGGGCGGCGGCGCGGAAGGCGGCCCTGACGTCGTCAAGATTCTCCGGCCAAGATTCCAGCTTGCCGTCGGGGGAGAGGACGACGAGGCAGACATCGATGCCGCAGAGTATGGACAATTCTTTGGCTCCTTTCAGAAGAGTGGATTTCCTCTTCTCGTACTGCAATTTCTTGGTCCTCTCCTCCTTAATTTGTTGCTGCTGCTGCTGCTTCTCAGCCGCCATTGTTGGAGGAATGAATTCGAACTGGCCGCGCCCAAATCTGGGATGATGAGTGTGTGTGAGCGTGGGGCGTATCTATAGCGGGTAAAAAAGGGTTTGTCGTTAAATGGAAAGTTTTGGTTTTGGTCGTCTTTAGGAAATCTCTTTGACCAGCTCAAATCTTTACTCTCTCTCACCTCATAATTATTTACTCCCCCCCTCTCTCTCTCTCAATATTGTTTCCCTTTTGATTAATTGAGGGTTGATTGATTTTTTTTTTAAATTTAATTTAATTAATTATAGATGTAAAAAAATTTATACTTCATGTGTCTTCAAAGGATTTACACACTATACTATTCAAAAGTACGTACTCTCTAATATGATACTCACTCCGTCCCCGAATATTTATTCACTTTTTAATTAATTTTTTCCGGTCAAAATTGATAAATGTTATCTTCAAATTAAATAAAAATGATATTACATATTGATAAAAATTTATGGAACTCAATTATCCTCTTGAAAATAGAAGGACCTGAGAGTTATTTCGACAAAACTCGTGTCACCTGTTACTAATTTTCTGCATTTATGCTAGAGTATGTGGAACTAGAGGTTTAGTTTCTAATTAAGATATACTCCGTACATATCAATTTAGAGATGCTAAATAAAATTAGAACTTTTTTAGTGTACTTTTCTACTTAATGAAGCAAGTACTCCGTATATAGCTCACACATATTATTCCTCTTTCTTCTACACAAATTTCATTTATGTTTTAGTCCTATTCAGTGCAAGTTTCACTTTATTTTTATAAAAATTTTCTTACTCCGTAAATTCAAGGAGATCAAATGGTAATTTATATTTTTAGGGAGTGTTATAATTGAGTGCTCCTTGTGACACTTAAGAAATTCCCACCAAATTTTTATATTTTGTCTACAGAGATTTATATACTGCCTCCGTTTCTGAGTATTTGTCCGCTTTGACTTTTATCGGTCAACTGTTTTTAATATTTGACCTATAGTTAAATGAAATATATATTGTATATTAATCAAATAAAATAAAATTTTGAAAATATTTGATATAATAAATCTAATAAAATTATTTTTTCTAATAATATCTAATATCATTTTTATTTAATTTAAAATCAAAAATTACTAATTTTGATTAAAAAAATCAAAAATAGAAATATGCTCAGGGACAGAGAGAGTACTACGCAGTACTCCATATCAACAATATTCATGAACACAAACAGCCACTCCACAAGGATCAAACCTATCATTTGTTCAAAAATGAAATATCTAACATACCCTTCAAAGAAAGGATAACAAATAAATGAAGCGGTCTTATGGCGGGCATTTTATGAACTGTTTGTTTGTGACTCTAGCATTACTCTATCACAAAGGAAAATGCTAGAGTTACAAACTTAAAGTTCACAAACTTCACAAACTTGCCTTTTGTGGAATTAAAATTAAAATATTTTTTAATATTTGAGTGCATCTTATTTCTAGGAAAGTGCTAAAAAGGCAAGTTTGTGAATTTTGTGAACTGTTTGTTTGTGACTCTAGCATTACTCTATTACAAATAATAAAATTGAATACCAAACAGTGGGCTAATAAAATATTACTCCTGGACAATATTCAATGAAGTGATGAGCATTAAACAAACAAAAACAACAACAAAAACAAACCAGTTAGGTCTAACAAAAATAAAGTCTGGGAGGATGTCTATACAGTGACATTATATTGCCCCTACCCGAAAGTAGCTAGAGAGCTTGTTTCCAAGCATTAAACCAAAAAAACCTTAAAAGAAATGTCTAAGATAAGCTACAAGTTTAGACATACTTAAATAAAGGACATGTCTTCAAATAGTCACTTAGGGGCTGTTTGGCAACTTCTGAATCGGTAAGTGTTGAACCAGTAAGAGGTCTGAACCATTAAGTGCTGAACCAGTAAGAGGTTTGAACCATTAAGAGCTAGTATATTGCTTAACTATTCAGAGGCAAATGTCTGATCAATTCAGATGAGAGGTCTTAACTATTCAGACTCTGTATAATACTTAACCATTCAGAGGCAAATCTCTTAACCATTCAAACATCTGAACCATTAAGAGGCTGAAACAAACAGTTTGAACCATTAAGTGCCGAACCATTTAGACATCTGAACCATTAAGAGGCTGAAACAAACAGCCCCTTACTCTTAGAGTCTTACTCTTGCTGTTAATCTCAACTTCTTTAGAAATGTACCTCAAAGACAAGTTTACAGTTATTTACAAATAATTTTTTTAGAGCCACCAGAATTAAAGTTCATATGCAATGAAAGTAAACCCCAATAAATCCCAAGAAACCATATACAACCCCTGCAAGATCATATTATACTTAACACCTACTTTACCAGAAGACTTGCAGATGGTTGATCAATTATTAGTTTCAAATCAAAACACAAATTGATCAATGGTAAACAAGATCAAAACACAAATTGGTTCCCACTCAAATAAAAACTAATAAATGTTTGTCATCAATATGTTGTCTACTGGGTCTAATTTAACTAACAAAGTTCTTGAAGCAACTACAATGCAGTAATTAATGACCATATATATATATATATATATATATATATATATATATATATATATATATATATATATATAGTGAGAGTAATAAGTGCAAATATATATCATACTGATCATATAGAATAATAATTCCCAAACTGGAAATCTCCTCCTAATCTGCCCTGCAGCGGCTGCACACACAGAGGATCAAACATGGCTGCCCCAGAAGCATAATCATCATTATTCCACTCATGAACATGATTATTATAATTATTTTGAAGATTTTGAATCTCATATCCATACGATGATGAATACCCACCACCGCCATAGCCAACACTACAATCTTGATGATGATGATGATGATGGTGAATTTGATTCTCGTAATTCCAGATTCCCGCTGCAAAATTGTTATTCCATTCGCCAGACGCGGGAAACCCTTGATAACAATTACCACAACAATTAGAACGAGAAAGCTGATGATGATGATCCTCCTCTGTTTTCTTGCCAATCTCAAGAACCCCTGCCACTTCTTCCATGGAAATAGCAGCCTTCATCTTCTTGTTCCCTTTCTCGGCATCATCAATTCCGACTTGGGAGGGACTGCGGCGGCGCTTTCTGTTGTTGTCGGAGCGAGGCCGCTTGTTGGACTGGGCGGCGTCGCGGAAGGCGGCCCTGACGTGGTCGAGATTCTCCGGCCAAGTTTCGAGCTTGCCGTTGGGGGAGAGGACGACGAGGCAGACATTGATGCCGCAGAGTATGGACAATTCTCTGCCTCCTTTCAGAAGAGTGGATTTCCTCTTCTCGTACTGCAATTTCTTGGCCCTCTCCTCCTTAATTTGTTGCTGCTGCTGCTGCTTCTCAGCCGCCATTGTTGGAGGAATGAATTCGAACTGGCCGCGCCCAAATCTGGGATGATGAGTGTGTGTGAGCGTGGGGCGTATCTATAGCGGGTAAAAAAGGGTTTGTCGTTAAATGGAAGGTTTTGGTTTCGGTCGTCTTTAGGAAATATCTTTGACCAGCTCAAATCTTTACTCTCTCTCACCTCATAATTATTTACTCCCGCCTCTCTCTCTCAATATTGTTTCCCTTTTGATTAATTGAGGGTTGATTGATTTTTTTTTAAAATTTAGGGGTGTATTCAATTTAGATTTTAAAAGATTTTGAAGGATTTTTAAAATCTATGAATTATGTAAAATCTATTGATTGTTTTAATTCTACATAGAGTTAGTTAGATTGTAATGATTTTGTCTGATTTGTTAAAAAAAACTTTTCCCAAATTGAAAATAACTTTTCCCGGGGAGCTCCATCCTCCTACCGCATCACACACTCACACTGTCTCTTATTTGTTCCATTTACAGAAAAAAATAATAGAATTTGTCAACAAATCCTAATAAAATGATAAAAAAATTCATCAACACAATTGAACAATTTTGTTAATAAAAGAGGAAACAAAAGAAGCCATACAAACTACTCGGTTGACCAAAATGAATTTTTACAAATTCTGCTAACAAGTGCGATAAACAAAATTCATAAATCTTGGAAAAATTCTATCCATTCAGAATTTGAAATCCCCTTCATTAAATACACTTGCTTCAAGATTGCAAAAAATCTATGTCCGGCAGGCCTGCACTATGAGATCCCAAGCTAAATACGGCCCAGACTCGTCTTCCTTTTCATTCGGACCATTGGACAACCGTCTCCAAGCCACTGTCATAGCTCCTATGTCTTCTCGTTGAGGAGCTACGCTGCCAGAGCAGATGCCATCGTCCAGGAGCTTCGTCCATCACCCTTCGAGCCTGTAATCCCGCGGATAACCATGGCCAAGGGAAGGGTCAAAACCCTAGCTAGGCCAGCGCCACCGTCCTTCGTTGCTTGTGCTTCCGATCTGTCCAAGCAAGAGGTGTTGAAGAGAGATGAAAATCCTTACAGAGGCCATGGTCGCAAATCTCAGTAGTGAAGGGGTGAGCAAAGTCGGTTAAAATCCTTTATGGTTGCAATAGATTTTTTGAGAAGATTTTTGCAGAGAAAAACAACAGCCAAATCCATCAAAATCTACCTTTTATAAATAAAAGGGGATTTCTTCCGTGCCCAAAGAAATAAGGGGGCATGCATGCCCCTCCACCAAATTCTTGTCACGTGTATAGTAGTGATGACAATTATTTTTAATTACCCACGTCATTTTAGTTTTCAGAAATTGCACATATCCCCTGTTTCTTACCCCAACTCTCTTCCCTTCTCCCGTTTCCGTTTATTACACACCGTTAGTAGGTCAACATTTATTTTTTAGTTTTAAAGGAGAAGCCAATTATCTCTTTCTTTTTTTTTAGAATTGAGAATTCTTGGATGTGCATATTATCTGATTTGATGAAGGCATACATGGTGGATGAACATCCGTTTAATGCTTTGTCTCAATTACGGTTGGAGATTAAATAGCAAAAGTGGAGATCAATAAATTGAGTGGAGGCTATCGATCGGAGAAGACGAACAAACTGATCGGGGGTTTTCTCCGGCCGACGACTTTCTCGTGCGATGAACTGTGACGGCAAAGCAGGAAGGGGCTTCTTTCTGGTGCCAAGAGAATAGATTCAAAAAGCAAAAAAAAAATCCCTAGTTAACGGGAGTTAAACGGAAGACATCACACAATTGGGAAGAGATAAGAATGCAGATTTTAAAAACAAAGGGGGTATTTTGATATTTTTGTAAATTAATATGGGGTGGACAATTTTAATCAAACTCTTATTTATCAGTCCACATGGCATTCAATGAATGCAGGGGCATGGATGCCCCTGCGTTTCGCAAGGCACCGAAGCAAAGCCCTTAATAAAAATCTTTCAAAATCTATGAATTGTTTAATACCATCAAGTTTCAATAGATATTTTAAAATCTAAATTGAATATCTTCAGATTTTAAGTAACTTTTTAGAATCTCAATTGAATACCTACAGACATTTTCAATCCAATAAAATCCTATAAAGTCTGAATTGAATACACCCCCTAATTTAATTAATTATAGATCTAAAAAAAATTTATACTTCATCCGTCTCCAAAGGATTATTTACACACTATACTATTCAAAAGTACTCTCTAATATGATGCTTTCTCCGTCCCTGAGTATTTGTCCACTTTTGACTTTTTCTGGTCAAAATTGGTAAACTTTGACTTCAAATTAAATAAAAATGATACTTCCTCCGTCCCTAAATAAACTTCTCCTTTCGTTTTTTCTTTGTCCCCAAATAAACTTTTCTTTTCCCTTAAAAAATCCTTTTTACCCCTTACTTTTTCATACCCTACCTATCACATCATACCTTTTTACTAATAATTTACATATCACATCTTACTTTTACACATCATATCAAGGGTATTTTTGGAAAGTCATCACAAAAATATCCTTCCCTTAAATTTTCAAAAAGCCAAAAAGGGAAGTAAATTTAGGGACGGAGGGAGTATTAGATATTGATACAAAAGTAGTTTTCTTAGACTTATTATATCAAATATTTTCAAAATATTAATTTATCTAATCAATATACAATATATATTTTATTTAATTAAAGATCAAAACTTGAAAATAGCTGACCGAAAAAAGTCAAAACTAGACAAATACTAATGAACGGAGGTAGTATTTTGTAGATCAGTACTCAATAATTTTTAATTATTTATGTGGTCGTATATAGTTGAGATTTATTTTCGAGACAGTCCATTGTAAATATTGTTTCTCGCTAGATGCTTAATTGAGGGGTATTTTAATATTTTTTATCAGCTAAATTTAGAATAAGTTCTTAAAATAATCATTTCTAATGAAGTGATTTTCCAATATGATTTTTTCTAATTAAAAATGTGTATTTGAATCAATTTTTAAAATATTTTTATAGGTTTTTAATAATTTATTGATTATGTATAGTGAATATAATTTTTCAATTTTACATTTAATTGTATGAAAAATTCCCTTTGGATAATAAAGTTTAAATTTAAATGATAGAAATACCAAAATACACTTTAATTAATCATCATTTGAGTAACATTATTTACGAAAAACTACTTAAGAAATAAATTCCAATTATAAAGAATCACATAGGTAATTAAAATTTATTTTGGACTAAATTAGGAAAATACTTTTTTACAAAAGACCATTTTAATGATTTACTCTTATTTTTTTTGGAAACGGTCTAATTTAAAAATGAATCAGTCTTATTCAAAATACTTACGGAGTATAATTTACAAGGCTTGACCGATTTGAATATAGGGATAAAATTCGCCTAAGATCTTCCCATTGCGCGTTACGAGGCTTGACTGATTTTATTTTCAATTCAATTTATTTGAATATAGGGATAAAATTTTAATATAAAATCTATATAGTAATAAACTACATGAAAAATTCTACAAAACTAGAGGTGACAATATTATAATTATTTATGAAATGAGTAGTAAAAATAAACAAACAAACTGAATTAAGTTTGACCGGGTGGATAGAGGGAGTATTTTAAAACCCGCTTATCTATTAGGGTACAATGCCCTTCCCGTTTGGAACAATGCCCGATCCATAATTTTGCCACCCCTAATGATTGGAGATATCAAATCCTGTTATGATTCATCATTTTGTAGAATCGTTGCCAATCACGAGAATGAGTTCTTCACATTCAACTGAAAACTGCCTTGGATGGGCTGCAAGAGACCCTTCCGGAGTTCTCTCTCCTTACAATTTCAGCCGCAGGTGAATATTAAATTCAATCTGTAAAGTTTACTTTAAGCAAAGATCTCATGAACTTATCATCTTCTCCGGAAATAATTTATCCGCCACGACTCTAACTCCACAGATAAATGTCATTAGGGTTGTTGGGAGCGATGACGTTTCGCTAGATATTTCTTATTGCGGCGTCTGTTATGCTGATGTTATATGGTCAAGGAGCATCCATGGGGCCTCAAAGTATCCTCTAGTGCCTGGGTATCATGCTTTGGATTGCCAATTTGTTCATAATTCATTTCCCTGCTCTCAATAGAATTTGATTCATTCATTTTTTTTGCATTACCAGACATGAGATTGTGGGAATTGTGAAGGAGGTCGGATCCAATGTGGGGCGCTTTAAAGTGGGTGACCCTGTGGGAGTTGGGACATATGTTAACTCTTGCCGCGAATGTGAGTATTGTGAGGAGGGGTTAGAAGTTCAGTGTTCAAAAGGAAGTGTTTTTACATTTGATGGCATAGATGCTGATGGTACAGTCACTAAGGGAGGATACTCTAGTTACATTGTTGTTCATGAAGGGTTAATAAACAATTATGACAATCTTTTTTTTGGCAGTAGAATTTCCGATTTTGTATGGTGCTGGATTATGGACTGTATTTTGTACAGGTATTGCTACAAAATCCCAGAGAATTACCCTCTTGCCTTGGCAGCGCCTTTGATGTGTGCTGGGATTACTGTGTACACTCCGATGATACGGCATAACATGAATCAACCTGGAAAGTCTTTAGGCGTGATTGGACTAGGTGGTCTTGGTCACTTGGCTGTGAAGATTGGCAAAGCTTTTGGGCTTAAAGTGACAGTTTTCAGCACCAGTGTGTCAAAGAAGGAGGAAGCTTTGTGTCTTCTTGGAGCAGACAACTTTGTGATCTCGTCTGATGAACAACAGATGACGGTGAGGATGAGAAGAGACACACCCATGGTTTTGTTTGATTTTTAATGGTGTTGAAAATGTTTATGACAAATTATTTCGCATGCTATAGGCACTGTGTAAATCATTTGACTTCCTGATTAACACTGCCTCTGGAGATATCCCGTTTGATCTGTACTTGTCGCTGTTGAAGACTGCTGGTGTTCTTGCTTTGGTGGGGTTCCCGAGCACGGTGAAATTCAGTCCTGGAAGCCTAAACATGGGTAAATAGCCTTATACTCCATTTGAAACCTTCTAACGATTTTGCTCATTGTACATTTATCTTATAATGATGCCGCGCCACCATATTGCATAGGCATGAAATGCATTGCCGGGAGCATAACT